GAAGAGCCCTAAGAGAACCTGACAAAGAAAACATGTTTTGCAGGGTTTTGAGTTCACAGAGCCATTGTTGTCAGACTACTGAGAGCCTAAAAACCATGGCAATCCTAAGAATTCACTGAGGTACTTCTGTTGTCGTTTGAGATCAATTCCTGAAGATTATGATTTCTCACTGCAGAGTCTTACCTCTCCCCAGACAGCCTGGATGTGGGTTTCTTTTTTTGGGGGGAGTGGTGAGGAAGCTTGGCCCTGAGCTAACATCTGTTGCCAATCTTCCTCTTTTTGCTTAAGTAAAATGGTCCCTGAGCTAACATCTGCGCCATTCTTCCTCTACCTTGTATACGGGACGCCGCCACAGCATGGCTTGATGAGCAGTGTATAGGTCTGTGCCCAGGATCCGAACCCGCAAAGCCTGGGCCACCAAAGCGCAGCACGTGAACTTAACCACTATGCCACCGGGCTGGCCCCTGGATGTGGGTTTCTAAATGACAGGATCAAAGAATTTCAAGATAAAAGTAATTTCTTCAAAAAGGACTGACATTCTGAAACAAAGCAAATTCTCATTAATTGAGAAAAATGGATCTTAAAGGCTATTTAGTCCTACTTCCCAATTGGTTAGGGATGACCTCTCTATCATTTGAATACTTCTAGTGATGGAGAGTTCACCCTACATCATTGAACAGTATGAGCACAATATTAAAATTGCAAGGGTATAATCAGATCAATTCCCCATCTCTTATTAAAGGGCTATGAACCAGGTTAATAAATATGAATTAACTCTTAATTTCAAGTCAATCAGAAAGAATATAACAATATCTATCGAATATAATCTTGGAAGTTAGTATAATTACTGGTGTTGATGCTATATTACATATAATGTAAGTCTATTGGATCGTAATTTTTTCATTTGTTTACTTCAGTTTATATATCTAAGTTCATTATTTTTCAATGTCACCTTTACTCATTCTGTGTTTATTGCTCTTGGCACGATATTTTATAAAATACACTCTCATTATAGGGGGACATTACATTCCTTTTGCCCGAAATCCTCCAGGTGTATACCTCATTATTTTAACATAATTTTTAATAGCACTCTTTTCACTCTCAAAAGTATCCTAGTTTGGATGATAAATTTTATGGTCAAGTATTGTACTTTATAGTTTTAAAAAACTGTATGTCACTTTTTAAAAGTGTACTAAAAATCTTCACAAATTAAGACTGGAATCCCAACCCCCAACCTCTCTGCACTCTTCTCAATTAATAAGCTTTCATTTTATTTTGAAATGATAAATCTTCTTGACTATGGTGCATTTTTAATCAAGCAAATAGCTGCTCCATGCTTAAGAACGACCACCACAGAGAAGCTGGAGCCTGTGCTCTCTGCGTGGATGGAGTGGCCCGCTGCCAACGGGATGTCGCTTTCATTAAGTTATTGAGAGCCAGAGAGAACCTTTCTAAGTCAGGCACAGCATGCTGGCAAATGAAATGTGGATGTCCTCATGCCTGAGAAAGCATTCCCTCTACTTGACCATATTTCTTTCATCTTTGGGTGCCTCAGTTTCTCTGTCTCTAAAAGAGCACAATGATGCCCACTTCACAGGGCTGTTGTAGGATTAAAGAGATGATGGTCATAGGGCACTCTCAGCCACCAGGAACAAAGACATTAAGTAATTGCAAAATGTTCAGTTTCACTTCTCCAGTTTGTGAAAAAAGGGCTCCCACTGACTTGAAAGAGAGCATCATAGGAGAAGAGGAGAAGCCCACCAGGAGAGCAGAGCCTGCTGCCTTCATTATCGTTGTCCTAAAGTGCAGAGGAGAGAAAGAGCAACAAAGGAGCTACAGAACTGTGGTCACAGAAAAACAAGACAAGGACAAAACTAACCAATGGGCCACAAAAGAAAATCTGAAAAAATGAACATCTTAGTTTAAAAATAATCTGTGAATATTATATGCCAGAAATTGTTTTTAAAGAACCATCTGTATATTCTCTGGTCACTTGATATAACAGATTCATATATTTTTCACAGCGAGTGTGCCCTTGTCCCTCACTCTACCCTTCCTTACATTATCCACTCTCATCTAGATGGCCTAATGGCAGTTCAACGGCCGCTTTCAAGTGGATTAAATTTACAAGTTCCTATTTAGGCAGCATTCTGTAAGCTACCTTCAAATAATTAACCAATAGATAACGAAATTGAAACCGGTGATACTATTTTGGCATAAAATATTAATACTTGTGAGGCTGAAGAATGAGTTTGGACAAGTAGAAAGTGCCATTGTTGCTTTGGTGAACTTGCAGTCAAGTAGATATAAGACATTCTCCCGTACATTAATACATGCTACTAAAATCAAAGGGGAAAAACAATAAATAGTAGGAGACATCACTCCAAACAGTATTTTCCCTGGCAAAAGCTGTGTCTGAAGAGTCCTTCAGAGCACTCTGGGAATGCATAGAAATTCATAAATCAATTTGCTAAATTAGCTTGGCTGGAAATCACGCTTTTGTGCATGGATCCAGCTGAAAGGCATTTCTGAATCTACCAGACTCGCTCAGTGCTTCTTCAATCAGTGCCAAGAGTCGGGGGACGTCATAAAAAGAGCTTGGACTTCAGGGTCAGTTAGACTTGGGCTCAAATTCTAGCTCCACCATCTCACTAGCTGAGTGACTTGGGATAAATCATATGACCTCTCTGAGAAGGGGATTACATAACCCTACCAGCCTTGCAAGGTTCTGGGAGGATTCAATGCCCGATATATGTCAAAGAGCCAAGTTCTATACTAAGTTTGACTTTTTCAGTGCAGCATAAACAACCCAGAATAAGAGAAGTCCAACTCAAAAACCATCCGCTCCCTCACTCTATTGTAGGCCAGGTGGACAAGAAATACAAAGTGAGGACAGTTTTTAAAAGATTAATATAAAATGCTTGCATATACTTAACCAAAATAGGAGCCTTAATTTAAGCATCTGGAAGAGCCAAACTGCAGCTCTAATAATGTAAAAATTCTTGGATGTCAAAAGATATTCTATTTTACGATCTGTATAATTCTTCACTTGTAGAAATTATGCACACAATTCATCTCTTTGAAAACCACACACCTTGGCCATTCACAGTGGGCTTCCCAGGGGCTGCCTGCTGCCAGATGAGCCTTTGGTGCTGAGTATGTAAGATGTAGAAGCAAAGGCAAGGGTCTCAGAGCACCCATCAGCCTTCTCATTCTACAGGTGAAAAAACCCAGGCTTGGGGAGGGGAAGTTGCTTGCCCAAAATCAAACAATGAAGGTCTTCGGGTAGGATTGTTAGGAAATCCAATATAACCCAAAATTATGACCAAAAAAAAAAAACAATACTCTAGCCACAGAGCTTTATTCACTGATATTTCCAATTCTGTGGCCAAACAATGTCATCGGCCTGTCTGGTACTAAGGTCTGTCCCTCGGGGAGGAAGTTTTCCTCTAATATCATGACAATATTCCCGTAGAGGGAAATCTGCTAACATAGGATAGGTGAGTCTCATTTTACATATCCCAATATTACATGGAACCCAGTTTCTAACATGTCTGGGGGTTAACAAATCTGAAAGACAAAAAAAAAAATAATCATCAAAAGAACCCCTTGAACACTGATGTGATGTGTGCTGTCTCCTGGTAACAGACACTGTGCTAGGCCCACAACTTAGATAAAATGGTACCTTCTGAACATAATTCCCCAAAGGGAAGTTATATAAATCAAACATTTAGCACACATTTTACAGTGACCATTATGCATTTTTCTACGAAAATCAAATTCGCCTTTTAAATTTCTGAGCATAATAATTTCTAATCACTACTCAGTATATTTAAAAAGGTGATAGCTCGTACAGAGCAAGATTTACAAACACTTAGGCAGAATTAGGTCCCTGTTTCATAACTCTTCAACCATTAATCATCATTGATGACTAAGTCTGGTTCCATCTCTGGGATTAAGGAAGCATTCTATCCTGAATATGCTAATTTAGAGACAGCGTTGTCATGAGGCTAATTTCTGGCTCAAAGACATTTCAATGCTTAACGCAGTTTTACATCAAAAGCACTTGTAGGAGATGACCATTAAGACCAGGACAGGGTGGAAGCTAGAGGAGGGCATTAAGTCAGAGGACTTCAGGTTTTTAGGATTACAGAGATCATAGAACCTGTCTAAAAGCTAAGGAGAAGGAACTAGAAGAGACAAAAAGTTGAAAATCCAGAGGACAGAGGTGGTAATCCCTGAGAGATGATAAGAGCCCCAGGGCATTGTGGGAGAGAACAGAAGAGGAGATGGGAGGGAAGAGAAGAGGAAGGGGATGGAAGGAGGAGAGGAAGGGGAAAGAGGAAGGGAGGAAGGCAGGCAAAGAAAGCGCCAGATGTAGGGACATTTTGTAGGAAGTTTAGGTGACATTAGATATGGAGGTGAGGAACCCATGAATTAAAAAGGATCTCTCCCTCAAAAGTTTGGAATTTAACAGAGAAGTTCTGCTCAGCCACATACTTGTATATTGTAAGTATATGCTCAGGGATTAAAAACATTTTAATGGATGTTTTCTCTTAAGGAATATGCTCAATTCATAATGGAAGAGAAAGAGATTGTCAGTTAGATTGATTTTTGCAGAATAACAACTCAAAACTACTTGAATCCCAGCCTTTAATATAAAGTTATACATATCAATGTGGGAAAAAAAATCCCTCCTAGGAAAGAAAAACTCAAACCCTAAACTATCAGGTTAATTCACAGTGTGGACCTAAGAAATAACAAATATACAGTTCGATATTTGGTTTGTAAAGTGAGAAAAGAAAGCACACAAAATTCTATGGAGTAAGCTTTTCTGATCCCAGAAATACTAAGAACTCGATAGTTTTTTTGGCTGCAATGACTTGTAAATATCTAGAAGAGCCCAGATTTTGAAGCCCTGAGGACACTTGCTAAAACTCAGAAATTTGGCACTAGTCTTTGCACACAATTTGGGTTTTCTTTCAGAGTTGATATCTTACCAAATAGAGCCATCTGTGTTCCCTCTGGGAAGGGTTCAACTGTTCTGTTGCCATTGACATGATGTTTGGCTAGAAAGAAAAAAAAGAGAAAAAAAGAAAGAAAGAAATGCGAGTTAAGTGTAAAGTCCTACACACATACTAACACATGTCATTAAATGTGTCATAGAGCCTATTTCTCATTTTTAGTTAGAAATGGCACAAAGCTTACCCTCTGAAGAGAGTTTCAATCATTTTGTTTTTAATCTCAGTTACAAAAGAGCCTAGAGATGGTCTAGTACAGGCACATCATTTTACAAACGAGTTGCCCAGGCCTGAGCTTGTGTAGAGCCGTACGGCTGGTGGCAGCAGAGCCAGCACAGCCTGAAAGCTCCTGACTCTTGGTTAGAGGGTCCCCACTGTGCCAGGCTGTCACCTGAAGAACAAGGGAAGCTCGGGGTTCTGGGGTAAACTGGGGCGGCTTCCTTTGAAGACCCCTGATGATCACAACATTGACCCGATCAATAAAGTGAGTGGTAAAGACAGCAGGGTAATACTGGGACCAATTTTTCGAGAAACAGATTAGCAGAACACATCATTTCACTATAATTCAAGCACTGTTCCCAGAGGCCAAAGACACTCGCCTTCTTAAAGACTAGACAGGTATTTCAGTGCTTCTTACTACTCTTCACCCACCCTGGTCCCCTCCACCCATCATCCTTCCCACCCTAGTGCATATCAAGGACTTAGAAATAAAAAGTGACCAGGTTATGGTTTTCCAGCATTGACTTATTCTCATAATGCCCAAACTACAACCAGATAGAGAATATCCGAGTATGGTCCATCTGTGAGTATATTTGAATAACATTCTCAGCAATTTTTTTTTTCCTGAGGAAGAGTCGCCCTGGGCTAACATCTGTTGCCAATCTTTCTCTATTTTGTATGTGGCTCACCACCATAGCATGGGAGCGAACTAGTGGTGTAGGTCCATGCCCAGGAACCAAACCTGGGTTGCCAAAGTAGAGTGCACCAAACTTAACCACTAGGCCACAGGGCTGGCCTCAGGAATTTTTGAATATGGGCATTTACATTAAAAATACATGAGAAGAATGGCCAAAATGCTTTGACACCACATTATGGAGCTATACATATATTTTGATTTAATGGGTCACATTAGATTTGTTGAGCCCTAATAAAGGGCTCAGCACCAAAGCAAGATTCTGAGGGGTTTAGGGGGAAGTATGACATGGTTCTTGCCCTCAAGGAGAGTACAGTTATCTTCAAGAGGTAAAAATTTCAAAAGCAAACTTTACCAAAAAGCTTACAATTACGTGCTAAGTCCCAGAATGGAGATTAAAGGTACTGTAAGAATTCGTAGCAGAGGGACAGCAAGTTGAGAAGTCAGAGTCAGCAACCTGGAGGAATTGCTACTAGTATAGGTCTTAAAAGAGAGGCAGGGTGTGGAAAGGCCGAGTGTGAGGAAGCAACAAGTGAGAGCCAGGAGTAGATGTAACCAAGGTATCATCCTGGGCCAGAGCAGAGTCTTGCCTGGGCTTAGTGGAGACGATATGTTGAGAAGCAATGGCAATGACAGATTGGTAGGCAGGCACCCAGTCATGGAAGGTCTTGAGAACCCCACCCAGACCCACGGGAACCCTAGATAGCTCCACAGCACCAGTGCAAGTCGGTTAGAACCTGAAGGCTTATGAGGCTCAGTCTAGTTTAGACAATCCCTTCAGAACACCATCAGTTCAGGAGCTTCCGCTGGTTCTTAAGTAACTGTGGCACTATCCTAAGAACAGAAAACCTGGGAGAAGGGAAGGAGCCAGCCAGGGTGAACCAGAGAGCAAGCCTTACAGCAGTCTCTAGGCACTAACTGCCACAACTAGCAGATGCAAGATGAAAGGTCCCAGGGGACCATGGGACCTTGTCAGGTACTCACTAACATGGTTAGGACCATTGTTACTGAATCCAAAGAAAATCGATGAGGCTCCATGTGGGGGTCACAGTTCTGTTCTCTGGTTAGCACCCTACAGCCTGTGCCAGTGGTTCTAAAAGCGTTTGCCTTTACATATATCAAGAGTGGCAAACCCATTCAAACTCTTCGACCTGCTAAACCTAAATTCATAAAAATTTAACCTAAAAAACATGCAAGATAAAAAAAGGTGATGCATATAACAATATTTATTACCCCTCCATCCTTTCTTCTTCAGAAAAAAATATATATTTTTTAAAGTATTACTTGTAATAATGAAATCTTAAAATCAACTAAATATCCAAAAGTAGAGAAATTGCTTAGAAAATTACAATTCACGATTTATCAAAAGAATGGAATATTATACAACATATTTTAAATATAGCATTTGAGAGATATATAGAAATGTGGAAAAATATTTGGGATAACAGTAAGTGAAAATAATTCTATTACTCATTTGATGTAGATTATAATGACAACTAATTAAAATATGAATGCTTATGAGAAAAGACTGGCAGAGAAACATGCAAAAATGAAAACGACTAGGGAGATTATGCAAGATATTTATCTCCATTAATTTCTTTTGTCACTGTTAGATTCATATTTTCTGGATGAAAATATGTTTGTTTGGATATCTAAAAATCAACAATATTATAGATTTTAAAATTCTTTTCCCCAGTACTTGGTTTCCCAGGACAGCCCATCAAGGCTTATTTATAGCCCAGCTGAAACACTATATATTTATAAAAAAAGTGTAGCCTATTTGACACCTCTTCTGGGACAGCTCAAAAGCACCTCCAACACAAGATGACCTTCCACTCCAAACCCAACCCTCTTGCAGCATCCCTACCTTCGGGATCCTCCTGCTTTCTAGGCATCCTTGCCTATTCTATCTCCCTCACTACTCACATCTAATCTATCACCAAATCTAGCTAATTTTGCCTTCTAGACATCTTTAAAATCCTTCCACTTCTTCCCTTCACCACCAAAACTACCCTAGTTCCAACTACTAAAGCCTCGCTGCCTGGACTCCTGCAAGCACCTCTAGCTCTTCTGTATCCCTTCTCCAATTCGCTCTTCCCAGTGTAGCCACAATTACCTTTCAAAAAGAAAGAAAAACTCTGATTATATGACGCAAACTCCCCCACTCACTCCCCCACCTTCCATGCCTTCCCACTGCTCTTAGGCTAAAGTCAAAACTCTAACACCACCTTCAAAGATCCATGTGGTCTGGCCACCAGTCCCTCATTCCCTCTACTACAGCCATGCTGCTCTCTTGGGACCAATGACCCTCTTCCGCAGCAGTCACCAGAGCTGCACTTTACCATTAGTCATTATTTGGACAAGAAGACTGTAAGCTCAGGGAGGGCAGGGCTCGTATCCCTTATGGTTCACCATTTCTACAATCCTAGCACAGGGTGGGACACCCTGTGTTCAATAAATAGTTGCTAGGTTAATGATGGAAGACATAAACAGTACTAAAGAGTCTCTCTTTCGCCATTATGAAAGATATATTACTTGATACACTAAAAATCTCTCTCTTCACATGTACATGTCTTCCTTACACAAAAATGATCATTGAAAATGGCCACTCAGAAATAGTTTCCCGAGCCAGGCAGCCAGGAGACCAAGGAACTCCTCTGTCCCACTCCTTAAATGTCGACCACCTATCCCTTCCCATTCACCTACTCTCATCTAAGAAGGGGGCGGTGCTGGCAGAGGTGGGAAGACTAGAAATGCTACCTGAACTAGAGAGGAAGGAGGAAGTTCACATGCAACTCTCTCTTCACTGCTAAGCTTCCCCTGGACCCTGTCTTATCTTTTATCCTAGAGCCCAAGGCCCAAAGATAACAGGGTCTGTAAACTTGATTTTGCATTTTCTTCTGAACTGCAGCTGAGTCTTACATAGTCCCTGGACAGCAAAGACACAGCATTAGCCAAGAAGAGACAGTACAGTATCAGTGGCTAAGGACATGGGCTCTGAAACAAGATTGCCTGACTCTGAATCTCAGCTCTCCTACTTCCTAGTTCTATGAACTTGGCTTAGTCACTCAACCTCTTTGTGCCTCAGTTTCCTCATTTGTAAGAGTTTCCTCATTGTAAGTTTCCTCATTTGTACCTACCTTGTGGGTTGTTTTGAGAATTCAATGAGTAATATATGTAAAGTACTTTGAACAGTGCCTAGCACATAGTAAACACTACATACCTATTAGGCTAGTATTATCACCTATGTGTGAACTTTATTTTTCACAAGATCTGAGTCAGGAATAGCAAATACATGGCACATATTTACCTCTCCTCCATGTCCATTCCCATAGCAGACATCACTAATCAACCACAGCATACTTTCAAGATCCCTGAATGTGACCACAAAATCCTTTCTCAACGTAGCACCCCACAGCTTCTCTTATTATTTAGAGAGGGCATGTGTGATGAAATCGTTTTGTCATTCTTGGTCTAAGTGAATAAGATAGAAAGACAGTACAAAGAAAGAAGCCATTTTCCTTCTCATTTCTACATGATAAATTGCAATTAAAAAAAGACCCTTTGAAAACCTCCAAAATTATATATAGCTTTAGGGATAAAAGAATAGGGGGAAATCTGAGCACTATTTTCCATTCCATGATGAGAGATTGGGGAGTTGTTAAAAACCAAGCAATGGCAGTTCTCTTCCTGGAAACCAAGGCTGAGCTTCTAAGGACATTTTCCCGTTGAAACTCTGCTGAGGCAAGTATTTGGAGGCCAAAGAACCAGAGATCCTTTAAACACATTATAGAGATTTGGGGGAAGGGGAGGGCAAACCTGGGCAACCTAATCAGCATTTATAATTTTTTTTCAAAATCGATGGCATATTTGACCACAGAAACAATCAAACTGACTAAACAGAAAAGTCACTCATTGATCGGGTAGTAACTACTGGTTACCAACAAAGCATAAAACGGAGACAGGAGGGGGTCTCTGACAGGGACATCTCTTGCCTGGCCACAGCAGCACGGAGGCCTCCAATCTGGCTGGTTGGGCAGATGTCCCTGCCCCTGCTCCATGAGGGCATGTTCCAGAGCCACACACTCCAGGAGGGCAACCTCTGCTGATGGCCATGACGTGTCCTCAGTCAAGG